TTATGGGCTGCTTATGAGCCCTTGAGCAGAGAAGCTTCTGGTGAATGCATTTCACACTTTCACGATGGCATAAAGCCATGTGTTGTGAACTCCTCGGGCCTGGCCTTCGCGAGTTATCACAACACCAAGGGGTGGCGAGGGTGGATGTTGGGCCAAGGCACAGTATCTCGGGGGCTGCCACGAAGTTCTTATCAGGCACAGCAGCACACTGCTACTCTTGGTTATGCTTATACAGGCAGACCTCGCTTTGCACAACCCAGTAGAATGCTGATTTGTTCTCTTTGTCCTGGAGAAATGTAAGATTAAAAAAAATATCCACAACGTACCCGCCCCCATCATTCGCTCAGCCAATGAGAGCGAGTTACGCTCTAAGCCTCGCGATTCGTTTATCACGATTCATGGTCATAATAAAACATTTAAAATATATATTTTTTAAATCAATGTTTTCAGAGTGCATTGATCAAGGTGAAGACTCACGAGACCAGGATAGAGTCTCAGGCTCCAGATAAAAGACATCTCACTGCTGACATTTTGACTCGGGGCATCACAAAAGACCTTGGATTGGGAGCGCAGCAGCTTCATCCTCGTCTTCCACCATTGCCTTGGAGTATTTCACATTCCAAACGTTGGAGTTGAACCTGATATGTTTTACATTAAAGCAAGTTTTACAATTTCCCCCAAACTTGTTGCTTCTGTGTTGGCTTTTTTAATGTACGTGTGTGTAGCGTTTATATCTTCAAATATTTATATCAATTATCGCGTCGTGGAATTACCAGGATTTTCACAAACAAACGTGTGAAAAATAAGTTGTTACTAGATATAGATTTTATCAAATATATTATACATTGTGTGTTCTTAAATCAATAAATGTGGAACATTTCCTCAATGGGAAATACGTATTATGTATGTGTAATGAGAGTGCGGAGCGAGGGTGGACGGTGTGTCTTCCCGGGATCATGGTTACGAATGGACGAGCTAATGAGGATTACTGAGCCGGGATCCAATGGCGGTGAAGTGTGAAAATGGCGGGGAGCGGCAGAGCCAGGTGCGGTGAGGAAGATTGAGGAATAGGGCGTGGCCTGACCGGGCGAGGATAAATAGCAGCGTGAGTGGAGGCTTGGGGCTGCTTGGTGTGTGGAACTGCCGTCCGTCGTCGCCTGGGATCGAGTCGTCTCTACATCGTCTGCGAGCTGTCTTGAGATAGGAAGCTGTGTGTTTCAGAATACAGTTGTCTCATCACCCAATGGTACGGAGTCACTCGCGATTTCTTGTTGAGTTGTCAATGGACTTTATTCTTAATACATATGTAATGCGGGCGTAAACGACCTCCCGGAAGTGACGTCATGGGGGGAGGAGTTACGTCACGTGGGGGAGAGGGTTCAGGTCTATAAGGGGGGAAACCGGAAGAGGAAAGGGAGTGATCGGAGACTGGGAAAGGGTGAGGCCACGCAGGGCGGAGAGTGAGAGGGAGAGTGGCGAGATCGCCACATACAAGGACCCCGAGGTTCGGCACCGTCGGCCAACGGTGACCGACCCCGGAGCCAAGGAGCAGCGAGGAGGCTGCAGAGAGCAGCGGGTCTGCAAAAGGGGAGTTGGGCAGCGGGGGTCTGCACGAGGAGTTCAGCAGCGGGTCTGCTAGGAGAGAAAGTGGGCTACGTGAGCGACAGCAGCCTAGGGCTGCCGAACGAAGAGTATCTGGGGGAGTGCCGTGAGGGAAAAGCATAAGAACCCAAATAAAGAACACGGAGAGAGAGAGAACGTCCGAGTTCTTTATTACACTGGTGCCGAACCTCGGGGTCCTTGTATGTGGCGATCTCGCCACTCTCCCTCTCACTCTCCGCCCTGCGTGGCCTCACCCTTTCCCAGTCTCCGATCACTCCCTTTCCTCTTCCGGTTTCCCCCCTTATAGACCTGAACCCTCTCCCCCACGTGACGTAACTCCTCCCCCCATGACGTCACTTCCAGGAGGTCGTTTACGCCCGCATTACACTACCCTCCCCCGTAGAGAAAATCCAGCCGACCTCGGCTGAACACAACTTCAACAAGCAATGCGAGCGAACACGACCGAATACAAAAAAGGACACGAAGCATACAATAATCTATCGAAAGAACAAGAACACAACACAACAGTTAACGAAATGTGAGGGACTTTGAGCGGGTGCGGGTCGCCGGGCCGTCCCGGACGGTCGGCGGCCCTTTCGGCCGAGCGGGAACGTGGCAGGGTTTTAAGAGCGACAGGCTGAAGTTCGTCTGTCGCTATTGGAGGCCTGCCAACGTCCCGGTCCCCTTTTCTCGAAGGCCCAGCGTCAGAGGTGTCCCGCAATCGCGTTCGTGGCGGTTTTGGAAGGGCTGCGGGTCTCAGAGTTTCCGCAGCCGTGGTAGGCGCACCCCGAGCCGAGTCTCCGTTCTCCTGCAGCGTCACAGCCGGCTTGTCTGTAAAAGGCACGACAGGCGCTCTTGCAAGGTCAGCGGGCACAGGCAAAGGCGAGTCGGCAGCGACAGACCCCGGCAAGGCAACCTCAGGAGATGACGCATCAGGTGGAGGGGCCACGTATGGTTTCAACCGAGATGTGTGAACGAACCAACGCCGAGATCCAAATCGAACACGCGCCGACTGTGGGTTGGGAACCTCGATGAGGCGAACCGGCCCTTGCCATGGTTTATGTAACTTAGGAGAGGTACCTGGCCGCACCTGTGGGCAATGGAGCCATGCCAGGTCCCCCGTTTTCCAGGGGCATTCCCCCTTTGAACGTCGAGCACACCGCTCGTTCCGGGCCTGGGCTTTGGCCGTAGCCATGCGGGCCCCTTCCCGCGCCACAGTGACACGGCAAACGGTGTCCTGAATATAATCAGGAAGAGGCTTAGCAGGTCCCCTCGCTCCGGTTCCCAACTGCACATTCATCGGCGGCACGTTTTCACGACCGTACATAAGAAAAAACGGCGAATATCCCGTAGCCGCATGCGGCGTCATCCGGTAGGCTGAAAGCACCCCAGGGATATGCAAATCCAAATCTGATTGTTTTTCACTAACCGTGTGACACAACATGGTGGACAGGGTCCGATTTAGCCGTTCAACCATACCATCCGTTTGTGGGTGGTAGGGAGATGTCCATATCTTTTTAGTTCCAAGAGCCGCACACACCTCCCCCAACAATTTAGACGAAAAATTCCGGCCTTGGTCTGTAAGGAGCCTCTCCGGCGCCCCCTTGTCCATAACATACCCAAATAGAAAGGCGTCTGTGATAGACGCCGCTGACTGGTCAGGCAAAGGCCAGGCCATCGGCCAGCGGGAGAGGTACTCCACCCCTACCAGCAAATATTTATTTCCCCTAGCGGATGGCGGAAAGGGTCCCAAAATATCTAACGCCACCAATTCATTAACTCGAGATACCTGAATAGATTGTATCGGCGGCGCATATGGATGTTTAGGTGGCTTCCGGCGGGCACAATCGGGACACGCGCGAACGTGCCCGACGACATCCGTCGTCATGCCGTGCCAATAGTAATCTCGCTGCAGCGTCAATAGGGTCTTCTGTACCCCCAGATGTAAAAGCGTGTCACAATGCAGAGTCCTAATCAATTCGTACCGCAATGATACCGGTACAACAAGACGCCAGCGTACCTGTATCCCTTCCCTCCACATCAGCAACCCATCAAGGAGAGCGGTTTCCGGCACACCCCCCTCACCGATGCGTCATCTCCTGAGGTTGCCTTGCCGGGGTCTGTCGCTGCCGACTCGCCTTTGCCTGTGCCCGCTGACCTTGCAAGAGCGCCTGTCGTGCCTTTTACAGACAAGCCGGCCGTGACGCCGCAGGAGAACGGAGACTCGGCTCGGGGTGCGCCTACCACGGCTGCGGAAACTCTGAGACACCCAGCCCTTCCAAAACCGCCGCGAACGCGATTGCGGGACACCTCTGACGCTGGGCCTTCGAGAAAAGGGGACCGGGACGTTGGCAGGCCTCCAATAGCGACAGACGAACTTCAGCCTGTCGCTCTTAAAACCCTGCCACGTTCCCGCTCGGCGGGAGGGCCGCCGACCGTCCGGGACGGCCCGGCGACCCGCACCCGCTCAAAGTCCCTCACATTTCGTTAACTGTTGTGTTGTGTTCTTGTTCTTTCGATAGATTATTGTATGCTTCGTGTCCTTTTTTGTATTCGGTCGTGTTCGCTCGCATTGCTTGTTGAAGTTGTGTTCAGCCGAGGTCGGCTGGATTTTCTCTACGGGGGAGGGTAGTGTAATGCGGGCGTAAACGACCTCCCGGAAGTGACGTCATGGGGGTAGGAGTTACGTCACGTGGGGGAGAGGGTTCAGGTCTATAAGGGGGGAAACCGGAAGAGGAAAGGGAGTGATCGGAGACTGGGAAAGGGTGAGGCCACGCAGGGCGGAGTGTGAGAGGGAGAGTGGCGAGATCGCCACATACAAGGACCCCGAGGTTCGGCACCGTCGGCCAACGGTGACCGACCCCGGAGCCAAGGAGCAGCGAGGAGGCTGCAGAGAGCAGCGGGTCTGCAAAAGGGGAGTTGGGCAGCGGGGGTCTGCACGAGGAGTTCAGCAGCGGGTCTGCTAGGAGAGAAAGTGGGCTACGTGAGCGACAGCAGCCTAGGGCTGCCGAACGAAGAGTATCTGGGGGAGTGCCGTGAGGGAAAAGCATAAGAACCCAAATAAAGGACACGGAGAGAGAGCGTCCGAGTTCTTTATTACACATATATAGAATGTTGATGTAAAGCTTTCGTGACTGCAGGGATTCATATTCTTGGTTCTTTCGGTAAAGTCACGTAGAAGGGAAATAATAAAATAATACAAATATTAAACAATATTTGTATTCTATTATTATTTCCCTTCTACGTGACTTTACCGAAAGAACCAAGAATATAAATATATAGAAGACAAGACGGCGTCTCAGAGAGCTACATTAAACATATAGGTTGAACTTATTTCACACTGTACGTAATCAACTGTGCTACAGTAAAATACACTTGTGAGTACAGTACAAAAAAACGTATGTTATTACAAATTTTTATTTCTGAAACAATGCTTACCATCTTTATTATTCTTAGTGCTAATTCAGATACCCCAATAAAGCCCTCATAGATTGTTCATACAAAAGAAACCAGGCGGTTGGTAGGATCTCTATTGGTTTTGGTATAGCTGACATCATTAAGTAGGTCCTGAACTTTGTTATTGTATGTGGTTTTGTCCATGATGACAGTGGCATTGCCCTTGTGGGCTGAGAGGATGACTCTGTCATCTCTCCTTTTTAGTTGAGAAAGCTCAAATGCGCTCATCCTTGCTGATGTTGCTAATAGGTGTCTTAGCGTTTTTGAGGATTGCAGCGATTTCCGATCTTGCCAGGTCTGCAGGAATGTGTCCCAAACGCTTTAGGGCGACGTCGACCTGGGCAATGAAATCATCAACTGGGATGTGTTTAGGGGTGACTCCGAAATTCAACCTTTTAGCGAGAACCGATTTTAGACTGTCAGAAATTGGGCTGTTGCTCTGATTGATGACAATCTTGTCACCATCTACATTTTTAATGCATGAATCTGGCTTCTTATTGGAAAGGAGGTTTAACTTGGAAATCAGGTTATCTTTGCATTCAGCTTACATTTACAAGCACATTTCTTACATTGACATGCTAATCTCTCACAATACAATGACCACCCCCACAGCTTCGTTTGTCAAGATTTCGATCTTACATTTACATGCAAATTTCATCTCTAGCCCCTCCCACTGACCCTTGGGCTACACCCATCCCAAACCCTTTATCACTCCTTACCTTAGCAGCGCTCCCACCATATATTCTCATCAGCTCTCCCGCGATATTTATCACCTGATGACGATTGCTTGTGTTGTGATCGAAGCGTCATGATATTGTTATTTTTTTTATTTGATCTATCTACGTGGCTTTACCGAAAGACCCAAAGAATACAATATTTATTAATACGCGTGTAAAGATCCAATCCCCCACCAGTAATCTGATGAATTATCTCAATTCAGGGTTAAGGTGAATTGTCACAATTGTAAAAAAAGCAGTGGAGAAATAATTCAAACACAAATCACAATATATTTGCATGTGGTGTTACATGTACCTTAAAACTCCAACACAGAATTTAAAATGTACAATTACACTTTTATAATGAACGTTACAATATCTTAAAGCTGTGAATGTAAATCATACTTAAACTTTTTTTTATGATCCCCAAAATCTATTTTAAATGTAACGTTTGTGTAATTACATTAGACTTGTGTCAACTGCTGGAAAATGATGCTTTCAAAACTAACTAGTAATTTGCTGACATTTTGGTTTATTTTCAACAAATATACATCTCACGAATACACCACATATCAAACTGGGCTTTTGAATAAATTCGTAATTATAAAAAAAGAATTTGCAGATAATTTCCCTGCACATAAATCGTGCACTATCATAACATATTTCATGTTCTTGGGATTCAGTTTAAAAAAATTATTAACAAAACTAAAATGAAAAAGTCATAATATATTTTCTTACCTTTAAAATTTTCCCCTTTCCTTCCCACTGTTGTTTCACTAGATTTCCCAAATATGCGATCAACATCGTGTCCCGACACAAAGAGCTATCAAATGGCACAATAAACGTTGACGATCCACCCACTCATGCATATGCACTCAAGCCCACCCAAAGAGTAACAAACCAGTATCGGATAGGCGCAATTTTGGCTTACATTATAGATTTTTCATACAATAACGACATAAATTCCGTTCTACCCATGAGTACACGAAGCTCGCCACGTTTCCATTTCCTACTAGCATCTGGACCAGGTGAGTTGAACCAAACTGACCCAGCCAATTCACCTCCCTTGCACATTCTCAAACTTCCAAATGAGGCTGTCCACATAATGTAAGGAAGTGGTGGGACACCTGCGGCCCGTGGAGCCCCCCCCCCCTCCCGCTTTTGGTGACCTGGTCTGTGTCTAAGGTGATGTTTGGAGTCACGATTAGTGCACAATCAACGATGTCAAGCTTGTGGCCCGCTTGAGGTGAAGGAGGGGTGCTCACGTGGCCCACTGACTCGTCTAGGTTGCCCATCACTGATGCAATGAGTGATGTTACTTGTGTCATCCGATTGAGTACTCGGAGGACTATGTTGCGTCTGTTCAATTGGCCTTCATTTTCTTCTGCATTGGCCTCCAAAACGATGCCCCCTAACCTGCCCCACGCGGTCGCGTGATGTCACTGGCCTCGCTATCCTGAATCAGCCCTCTGAGAGGGCCTCCCTTGGTAACCGTTGGTTGTAGTCTGCTCGACTAAGTCGGTGTGGACGCTCGGTCATGGTGAGCCTTCCAGGCGCCAGTGGTTATTTCTCAACACAGCTTGTGTCTCTGAGGAAGGTTTCTTATGTGGCAGTAAATCCACATTTTGTTTTGTCTCCAAAGCTGAAATGGGCCAAATTAAGCGACAGACCCATATGTACAATGATATTTGTGTTGTGCAGGCCATTGGCGATCATCAGCTTGATCCACTAGTGACCGAGATTAATTACATTTGGCTGAAATCAAGTTTGAGCCAAGTCGGTGATGCTGACCAAATACCATTTGGCTGAGTGCCCCTGACATGGCATCAGCCTAGGATATAGGAAGGATACTGCACAGCATTCGTAGACCTAGACTGAAAAATATATCTGAGTTTTGGTCTGTGGTAAAAGTGGCGACCCTACACCAGACCCATAAACCAAGCTAGTCTGCGTGGCTGCCTCGTTAACATTTAATGGTTTAAAAATTAATGCACAAAAATATTAACATTATAAAACATTTGTTTCAACAAATACATGTTCTGCATACGTTTTTATTCCACTAGTAAAAAAACATATACGAATAAAAACGTAGATATTATTTGTGTCAGTAATATTTGCAGTAAAGACATCCACATTTGTATCGAAGAAAGCTACAATTATTCCAGCTGAACAGAGGCGTAGATGGTTTTTTCTTGCTTCACTACTGCAGAGTTTTTTCTGCGGGTCTTCTGGTCCAGATCCAAGCTAGCATAATGGACATGGCCATCCACTTCAATATCCTGCAATCAAAATTAAACGCATGCATACATTGTTATTTGTATTGCACTTGTTTACCCAGCAATCTCGCTTTTTCACAAATATCATGCCAAGTTTTTTTGCAGATATTTCCATGCGCAATCCCAAGTGAGTGATTACCAAATAATGTTTCAAATACTGGGAAGTGTGGCCAATGCAAGTAACATTGCATGGTGTTTGTTTTAATCTGTTGGAGGTAACCAGAGAACTTGGAGGTTCCCCACGCAGATCAACGGGAGAGAATACAAACTCGGCACAGAAAGGCACTCGAGTCAAGAATTGAACCCAGGTGTTTCTTGCTGTGAAACACAATTACTACTACTGTGTACACCCTACCTGCATGAAACATGCAATAGAGCACTTGGTGCATTATGGGAAAAACTTACTCCCAAACATGATTCATTATGCAACTGTTCCATGACAGATCAGATAACTATTTATTCAAAGCAATTTGAGGGCTTCACTTTGGATAAGAGTAGCATAATTAAACATGCTGATAGAATGCATGATAACATTAAATGATAAGCGCATTGACTGGGTTTTCTCTACAATGAAAGTGATGGAGGTTATTATCACCCCACTCGACGATTTTTTTTTCAAGTCAGAAATGAAGAGAGTGACGTTTCAGCAGCTTGGACAGCGAAAATTGTAGTTGATTTCCATTTATTCCACTGTTGGATTATATTTTTTCCACCTGAGGACGACCCCTTGTGTTGCGATCGAAACGTCGTGATTTATTTTATTTTATACCTACTTGACTTTACCGAAAGAACCAAAGAGTAATAAAAAAAACCTTTATCATAATAAAAAATAATGTTGGAGACAGTACGGAACCTTGATATTCCAGAATTGATAGTGATTACAACAGGTTTCTTCCCGGTGTGACGAATATTGATGTAGTGGTACAGCTGTTATTTTACATTGAGGTGGTTAACGAGCCAGATGATAACGTCAGGGGTAGCGGAGTCTATCACTGTGATGATGACTCCTACGTTTTTTTATGAATCCGAGATTGTGTTCCATGGTCTGTTATATGACGGGCTAGCTAACTTCAGCACCTGCATATATAAACCACACACGTCTCAACACGGGCAAACTGCCATCCTTCCTATCATGTTGTCCTTGGTGTCTTTCATCTGCGAGTCGACTCAGCTACTGCTCTCCGTGCTTTGCATTGGCTCTCTTTCGCCAGCAGGACGAATAATACAATCTCCCGCCTTTGTCATCGCGCCTTCACCACCAATTTCCCACCGCCACACCTCACCTCACTAATCTCGCCTTGCACCGAAGCTCATGGCAGAGCCCCTACGCAGCAGCGTCACTAAAATGTTACTTAGGCCAACAAAGGTATCGAACTGTTACAGCCTCACGTCGGTTCTCTGCTACCGCCCCCTTGGTGTGGAACTCCATCTCCTTTTGCACATCCGCAACATCAAATGCATTCTGACTTTCAGGTTTTCGAGCAGCCCTGACTTGTCTGAAAAATCTGGTGCGTTATAGATGCCATTATTATTATAACATACCATTCATAATTCTGTGGTGGTATCATTCGTTATTAAGGCAACACCATATTTACAAGTATTTGCATGCATATATAATGGTAGTATTTACATGTAGTGATTGTTCTTTTGTTACTGTGTGACGCGTACCGTAGTATGTCCTCGTGTGAGATGGGTGTTCTCTCTTGGCACCGGTGTGGGAATTCCTGGTTTTGGAACAACAACTCATTAAAATTAATTTCATAAGGCGTTTGACTGGAAAATCCCACGTTATTAACGTCTCTGTGCGGTCTGTAGGGGATTGGTATTCGCCCATGTCCCTTAAATAACTCGCACTAACCAGATTGGTGAAGTATGGTAAAAAAAAACTTTACAAACCTGCACGACATGGGTATACCCTTATCCAGTGGTGGGTTGACAAGGGCTGTGCAACATCAACACCGGCTGCTCTTCACCACTGAGCCAGGATATATTGGGAGGTCTGGGCTGAGTATCCAACGCAGCCATAGCATCTGCATGAGCAACAGTCCTAAAACTTGCCCATGTACCCCTTGGTATCAGGAGGAGGGGGTATAAATTCCATAGGCACTCGGTCTACTGTCAGGTCAGAGGAACTGACCGCTTATTTCTCTAAAAAGTTTGAAAAAATTAGAAGGGCCATTCTGGTCTCCAACGTGCCTCTCTCTATGCATGCCCCGTCCTCTCCTCTTCCAGTGTCCCCTCTACTCGCACTCCCAATTCTCTCACCAGTCTCCCCGAATGTCGTACTTCACGAGCATCATTTCCACATTAATAAAAGACCTTCATCATCCTGAATCCCATCCCCACAACACTCATCTCTCTGTCGAGCATTATTAACATGCTACTACCTATGCCATACATTTTACGTGCATAATTATACCACACTGTGCATTTTGTATATATATAATCACCAACCACTGACTACTTATAGAGATGCCAATGTAATAGTTTTTCTTACCCTTTTTTTGCTTGACCAGTTTGAAGATTACCACGACCAACACTGTTATCAAAACAGCCATCATTGCAAGAGAGATGAAAAATAGCATCTTGTATTTCCTCAATGTGTTGTCACATTCAGTGCCTTGAGTTGTGTGTGAGTTCTCACAGCCAGAAGGACCTGAGCTGGCCACCTCTGAGATGCATCTTGATGGATTCGTGGTGACATTTCCCACTGGTTCGGTCCCTGTGAACATTAGCAAGAACATTAATTACACCACTAGAAACAACACACATTGCCTTGTGAATTGTTACACCGCGCTACTCACAATTATAGCCCGTTAACCTCACTGACCATAGAAAACTGTGAAACTATGAAATCCCCTTGAAATTGCATTGCTTAACAGTTTTAAATATAGGAATGTTGTTATGGATCACCAAAGTAGCTGACCCGACACGAGGTCACACTATAAGAGTTTGCACATCATTTTACACCGTGCCACCAAAAACCACAATTATACGTGTATGTGGCTGTATCTCAGAGGGTGTGAACGCAGCCAGTCGTCTGGAAATTTTTGAAACTTGCTAACACGGGGCCACTTTTACGTGACTGATCTTCCTCTTTTTCTGTAACTGCCTCGTCTATTAAAAGCATATACTGCATACATTGTATATGCCTCCTAGTACCCATGATTGGCATGGATAATCATCGACAACAGGATATGCACCCAGTGCCTTATATCAAAGTGGATATGAGGAGTCCCCACTGGTAAAAAGAATGCTAAGCTGTACGGTCATAGCCCATGTGTGTTTGAGCGAGCAATGTGATCGGGTAACGAGTACTCTGATTGCCTGTCTCAGCTAATCAAAAACAATGCAAATCAGCCAATTCCGGCACTAATGGCCCTGTTTTTTACGTAAAAAAATGTCAGTCAGGGGCGTGCCTGTAATAAATTCAGAGACGGAATTAGAGTTTTAGAACAAAAGCCAACGTTTATTGGCAGCATGCGTACACAATCTTGGGGTTTCAGTTCAACCCAGTTCTTCACGCATAACAGTACGCATTATAGGATTCCTCCAGTCTAAATAAATATGTTGGTTCTGATGTCCAATGCACCGCAGCGTCACACTTGTCACGAGAGCGACATAATCGCCGTTTTGCCACTCCCCAATAGTTACACCTCCGCAATCTTGCTCTGAACTTATTTATTAACTGTATACTCATTACTCTGTAACGGGTTGGGGCATCTGGCACATTGTGCCGGCCGACTGGCCTAACATTATCTATTATTATGATGCAAGAAAATGTGCTGGCTCTTAAAAATCCCACAGGCTTCTGTTGAGTTGCCTGATTATTAAGGAGTATCATCCCACCATCGGGCTCGGCGCTGATAAAATAATAACCTTGCTTACTTGGCTGGTGGAAGAGAGCATGTGATGGCCCTATCGGGGTAATTGTCTCAGCTCCTGCTACATATATGGGGCATGTGATAAACCAGAGGCAGCATTTGCTCAGCTCATCCTAGTTTTAAGTTTGACCAACACTGGCGTCTTGGCTGGCTGGCCAGGTCACCCTGACCACGTAATCTGGGACGCTGCCTGCGATGGTGGCTGTGTTCAGTGGTTCTGTTTGTGAGAAGACAATTGCTGTTCTTAAATCACCCAGAGCTCTGTTTGGGAATTGGTCTGACGGCGCTAAACGGGCCCTTTTGCAACCATATTTCCTCGCCAGTACCTACTGCCTTTAAATGTACATGCTCATTTGGCCCTTTCCATTATTGGATAACAAATTACTAAATTAAGTTTGAATTTCCCACCGCTGGACTATTTGGCCCAACCTCTGGCTTCTGATTCGTCAGATGGCCCATGGCTATTATTCTGCTCTGGCATCCCTCGTTCAGCCAGTCCTCCTTGACTCTACCCACGTGCTTCTGATTAATAAGTGAGCCTGTGCTGTTAGAAGTTGCATGGTTGTAATAGCGACGAGCCTGCTATTACAATCGCACGTCACGTATCGTTTGCTTGAATACTACACCTAGCCGTGTCGCACGATAGACTGCTACTAACAACACGACGATGTTCAGAATCAGAATCTTTATTTAGATAGGAAGAATCCGATGAGCCACACTTACAGCGCCAAATAAACTGACATTTAGCCGGCACTCACAGACCACTGCATGCAAGAATCCTTTTACACACACAACTCCCAAGTGTTTCAAGTGTTTATTCCACGTTATCAACTCCAATGGAGAAATGGGGGTTATTTGGAATGTCTCAAAATATGCCCACTGTGTCACACCTTAATCGTTAAGTAAATTATAAATCAAGCAACTGCGGACGTCAGTGAAATCAATATTAGCTCACTGCATGTGTAACACATATTTGTTACTATTTATCCTACAGCTGTGTGGACACATAGATATGGTAGGAATGCAATTGCAATGTTTGTGTTGACCCCATAACAAATAAAACAAAAATCAGGCCTGGATGTGAGGTTTCAGATCATTAGAAATTAATATCGGAATAATCCTCGAGCCTGAAGTGATGTCACAAATATGAGGTCGGCGCCGCGCTTTTCCCGCCAAAACTAGTTGCACGTGGCACGTCACGATTTTCTCCACAAATATGTTTTACATTCCTGGTGACTGAAACAAACAAGATCTGAGAGAAATTGTCTTTACGAATACAACATCCGAATTTATATCCCAAACTCATCACAAATACGAAGCTGTAAACGTTTCACCATACAGAAATAACGAAACCGTAGTCCGATGTTGGTTGCACAGTTCACCATTGGTGTTTACCTTTTTCTCTTATGATGAGTTGATATTCTAGTCTCTGCATGATTTTAGAAATATTCGTAGTGTATAGGCAGCGGAATGACCCCAGATTCTCAATACGTAAGACAGGTATCAGCAGAGAGAAATGGTGTTGGGCCTCGCAAATGATTGACAACGCGCAATTCCCATCCACACGTTAACAACCCAACTATTCAAAAGCGCATTCTCCGGTGTCCATATAATCGCTCTGAAGTCGTTTTGCTCCGTGTCACCATCCGTGTATCGTACATCACGACTCTTCTCCACGTCACCTCTTCAAGGAGCCATCATCAACACCACAGGGCAGCACAACCTGATCTCCTTCAGTCACCAATATGTCCCGGGTTTCGTTGGCGGTGCCTAGGAGTGGTGGGACAAGGGGCCGGGAAGACGAGGGATATAGCAAGGATTGGGGGGAGAAAAAAATAGGGAAGAGGTCAATATACATATATTTAAGCACATGCACACGTATATATTTAAAGCAGTTGTACCCCATTTCCATATGGAAATACTGTGCAGTATTCGGCACACATATGTGTACGACACAAATGAAAGTGTGTACATCAGAGCCCTAAATGGAATTGAGCAAGCAGTGTTCGCTTAGCTACATTTAAACGAGGATCGATCCATGTGTTATGATATCTTGTTTTAAATTATGTTATTATATTTATATGGGACAGGTGGATGTGATGTGACACAATCTCAGGGGGTCTGTTTTGTAATGTTATTAAACAAACGCAGCATGACATAGTGCACTGTATACAGCAATTATATTGGCTAGTTAACGTTATAAATGTATCATATCTTCTACAGCTTTAGTAATCTCGTTACTGAAGAACAACTGTAAGACATAAATAGGTTTCCATGATAAAAGTTAATTTTTTATAAAAACACGTAATTTGAAGTGGGTAATTTGTGGAAATGAACGCAGTATAATTTGTTATTATCTGTTTTTGTTAAGCTCATTCTATGTATTATGCTTACATTCAAGCAGTTATGTGACTGGTTTGCACGGTGGCCACTGGATCAATAACGTGGTCTATGAGCTGCTTTGTCCAAGGGTGCTGTCTACCCACAACCCAACACTCCCATTTCATTGCCCATCCCTTACCCAAGTAAGCCAATATATTACCGTCATGCAATTATATATATGTCTTGTACAGGTAGTTTTGATTCGACTTACGTTCATAAGGACATTTTAAATTAATTATATTGCATGTACACGAGGAAAGCTACATGTAACTTAAAATATGAAATTCGTTTGTCGTGTATGTGCAAGATCGTTAAAGTGCAATGCACATTTGTGCAATGAGCGCGCATCATCAGCAGAGGAATGTGGAATCGGCACGGTCAGGCACAGGGCCGCCAATTGAGATGAGCACGACTTCTGCCAATGTGAATAGGGGAACACTGTGATTTTTACGATGTGAATAGGGGGACATTGTGGCTTTGACTATGTGAATAGGGGGACATTGTGACTTTTACGATGTGAATAGGGGGACACTGTGGCTTTGACTATGTGAATAGGGGGACACTGTGACTTTTACGATGTGAATAGGGGGACATTGTGGCTTTGACGATGTGAATAGGGGGACATTGTGGCTTTGACTATGTGAATAGGGGGACACTGTGGCTTTGACACTTCAAAACCTAGTGGTGTGTGAGCTCTCGTAGGCCTAGGTTTAAACGTGAACACGTTTTGATATAATTATAAGCATAGACTGAACGATCGTTTAACCAAAGTTCATATTTTTATGCATGTTTCAATATCACTGAGGCATGTAGATTTGTATATACCGGCAAGATACATATAGATATTTATTGGATGTGGTATTAATGATGTGTCCACGTAAACACTCGTTGTTGTAATGTGCTGCAATAGGCTAAAGGGTGACTTTGGACTAAAATCTTACATTATTCACATACAAGTAATATATAGTGTACATTTTGTGAAACTTCTGTCTCACTGTACGTGTCCAAGCGTGCTTATCGAAAGTATAGTCAGTTGTATAATTACCAAAGCAGCAATACTTACTACAAATCCACAAACTAATTTAGTGCTGAAAATTGAATGTAGTGCGTGTTTACGATGAGTATAGTCACTCCTTTAATTAATGCATTTTTCAAGGTACCGACGCTATGGATAAATGAGATAAAAGTTGCTGCATTCACACGGGGTACCGTTTATACGTATGTAGGTGACTTACGACGATTGATCAGAACGGCGTGATCAGAGTTGTGAGTAACAATTCGAAGTACTGCATAAAGAATATATATGTGTGTGTGACTGATGACTTAGTGCACGCATTGAAGGGTAGAACTCGTGTGTGCAGTGAAGTTCCAATTGAATACTGTGAAATACAGTTTAACTCAACTGTTATTCATTGAAAATTTAAAAAAAGGTATGAATTCAAAGCGTATTGTAATGTTATTACATTATCTGATAGGAAAATAGTAATTAATTATTCCATTCCAATAACGTAAATAACATGGTTGTTCATCATAGAGGTGTTTGGGTTAGATCGCGTGAATATAAATGTGTCGTTAAACCCGCCACAACCTGACACAGCCAATTAGTAAGGTTTGTCACGTTAACAAAACATGCTAATTCGTTATTGAGTTCAGCACACCGGTAGCGTGTTGGAGAGTAAACTCACAGCATTTACCGTGACGTTTTGCCGGTAATTAACAACCAGCCTCATCAGGCGACAGCCAGAGTTTTGGAAAAAGCCTCCCGTTTCAGTCTTACATAGACCTTGTTAATTTATTAGGAACATTTTATTGATGGAGAATTCCAATGGGGATGGAGACCCCTCTGTAGTAGTAACATTTCGCTTGCCTAAAAACGCACGAGGGACTGCGACATCCCAAACGGTTTACCCCAAAATACAACAGGACAGCGAGCATTTGTTACTTCTCATGCCCTAAAAGTGCAACTAGCCTGGCACACGTGCCAAGGTGACACTATCGCCACTTAATTGTGAATTATCGTAAGTGTTGGTGGAGATCGGTTGAGTTGACCTGCGACCTGTATTTGTGCTTACAACCTACCAAGTGTAAGTCACGCACATTACACACGGTCACGGTGGCACATAGCCAGGGCAGAAGTAGAATATACATTACTTAGGGCCTCAAGTAGCTCATAGGGTGACCATGGGCACATTGCTTGACCATTGTTATCCATGTAATCGCTAACAATTCTGCAGAATTAAGTGCATGTGTGTTCAGTTGTCCATAGTTGATAAGTAACGACTATGCTGTTAGCATGCAAGCATTGACAGAGTTGTGAGAATTACATTGGCTTGGCAGTGAGAACCGTAAAGTATCATGAGCCTTGTTCGCACAACTTTAAAAAAAACACAAACTATTATTTGGCAAACAAGCACACGTATCATTACACATTTTAATGGAGCTGTTAGTAAGTATTTGCAAACGTCAGTCAGCTTACATGTTTGGTACTGTTTTCCACTCGATATTTTATAGGATAATGTTTTGTTTTGACTGAATTCTAGTTAAGAAGAAACAAAATATATAAACGCAGCGCGGGGAGGGTTCGGCTCGCGACAGCAGTGGTGGTCGTGTTTGTAAGCTACACTAAATTATACACTATTTTTCGTACCTTATTTTACAAGGTAAAGCCCACAAAGCTATATAGCTCTTTTTCAGAAGCGACCTGGCCACAAATGATAGCTCAACAAAGTGGCTTAATTATGTGGAAATATATAGCATCCAAATACTCTAAACGCATGTTGATTCTAAATGTGGAGGGAAAAAAATCCACCCGACCACAGGGAGAACCTGCAAACTAAATATACACCACGCATCAGGGTAGGAATCGAAACCACAACCATCATGAATAAAGGGCGAGGTAGTTAACATCTCGCCACCGTGGCGCCCCTCTCGCTAAGTAACTCTATAAATATAAAATAAGATAAGCTGCAGTGAGTGAGTGCGTACGATGGGCCTTCTTGTTTGTTCAGATCTGATATGTAATCCAAACTAATGGAAAACCTAAATTAGTTTAAATAAAACTTACTCATTGGAAACACCATGTAGAACAGAATTATATTTCCCAGAAAGTACATTTTTGAATCTGAAAAACAAAAAACAGAACATTTGTGAGAATCAAAGTTTTCCATTTGTTGTTTAATGTATGCATACGTAATATAATGGCAAACATTTCAAAAAGGAGCACTTGTTAACTAATTGTCGGCCAACACAAAAACACAACACAAGAGTGAAAATATGACGAAATTGTAAATGACAAAAATAGGTACCAGAAATGTTTTACTGGTTGCATTCCGCATAGCATTATGCAAATGCAGTACACATATAAAGAGGCTGCTTGCCGAGAACAACGGCGAACAATGGAACAACGCAGGTGTCCAGAATAAACACAACATCATTTAAGACCCAAACATTGCACCTCCTGACTTTCATATTCCTCCTCCTCTAAGACACATGTGCAACCAACAACTGCATCAGAGCATCAACAGGCTAGAATCAGAATATGTATTTATACTGGAAGAATCCGATGAGCTATAAAGCTCTTTGGTTCTTTCGGTAAAGTCTACGTGACTTTCAGTTCAACACGTAGGCTTTCGCGACCAATATTATTCATAATCAACGTTTTTGGGTTTAGATCTACGTGACTTTACCGAAAAAACCAAAGAGTAATTCCTGCAGTCACGAAAGCTTCAAATCAAGTTTGAGCTATAAAGCTTTTTTTTAATATGTCCAATAAGGGCGGGTCACAATGTTACAATAACAAACAATATTGGAAAGGTAAGCAAATCAATCACAAATACAACAAAACTAAACTATTTTTATTTTAACAGTTAAAGCCCACTGAGCTATTAGCTTCTTTTCCAGAAGCAACCTGGCCACAAATTATAGGGCAAGGGAGTGGCTTTATCATGTGGAAATTTATAGCAGCCAAATGATCTGAAAGACACAACTCACAGTCGTGTGATTGTTGCAATGCAACCCAACCTGTGCACCACACAGTCATCTCCTGTAGTATGTGCTCCTTTAACGGGGGAGGAACAGCAAAACTGCACGAACTCTCCCGAAAAAATTTCCATACGCAAGAATATAATAAAATACAGTACCTTAAAATATAAATAGTAAACCACTGACAATTGAATCTGTCCATAATAGAGGTGTTTTGGGGTTAGATTGCGTAAATATAAATGTGTCGTTAACCCACCACCACCCGACACAGCCAATTTGTAAGGTTTGTCATGTTAACATAACGTGCCAATTCCTTACTAGTGCAGCACACCCGTGTGTTGGAGAGTAAACCCACAACATTTACAATTTCGGGTACGACGTTTCACCGGTATTTGCAACTAGCATCATCAGGCGACAGCCAGATTTGTGGAGAAATCCTCCTGTTTCTATTATAGATAATATTGGTCGCGAAAGCCGACGTATTAAACCAATTAAATCAGTATTGAAAATGTTAACTCAATTATGGAAAGCAGCACGCCGATGTGCACGACAATTAACATTTCTGTTGTAACATTGTTGTGCCGTTTGTTGTCACGTTAAAAATGTATTTTGACCCGCTTCCAAATTTCCTACCTCGGCGCTTTTCATAGCCAACTCTGCGTCCCTCGTCGCCACGTTAACGGCTAATACGGTGATTGTGAGCGTTCATGACAACATCGTACGTTGTTCATGGCCTCAACGCATCTCAACGCAAGACGGTCACGACCTCGCGTCACATCGCCTGCCGCTCTTGATCCCCTCTTGCGCTGCAGCACAGGGGCCAACGGTTCATTGTAAGCGACTGACCTATTTCCGAGGGCCTCGCAAGCATAGGTGGCCCATATTTTAGTTTTGTGAAGGAGCCGAAATGGCACGTTTGCAGCCGAAGAGGTTGGCTCAGGGTTATTTCCATTGGATCCTGAATACGGCTCGGTTCAGACTATATTGCTTATGAAGGCATTTTTTCTATTCTACTTAAATAAGACGTTGATATCTGTTTCAAATTTTACTCCAAAGACACACCTACCATGTGGCCGTTAATGCAGTACACACTCAAGTTATTATTAATCGCCAGGTATTTATTTAGTTGAAGCCAATTACATCGCAAAATGTAAACATTTATGAATGCAATCCATGTGATTGCTATAGAGGTATAACCAGGCGTATTTATTGCCATTTGATGCCACATTTAAATGTGTAGTCATCGTATCTGCCTATTCGTACAGGATAACACATGTGGGGTATGATGTCAACTGTAGACGTATAGCGGAGGAAAAAATAAGTGCACATGGGACATTCATCCTCTTAATATTACGAATATGCAAAGGAAAACCAGTTTATTGTAACCGAGTGCATGCAACACGGTAAAGACAATTTTTTTTTAGGTTAGATTAATTAAATGTAAATGTCGTTAAACCTGCCACAACCTGATACAGCCAACTAGTAAGGTTTGTCACGTAAACAAAACATACCAATTCCTTACTAGTACAGCACACTGCTGTGTTGGAAAGTAAACCAACATTATTTACCAATTGAAGACGACGTTTCGTTGGTGATTACAACAATCAGCTTCATCAGGTGATTTTCCAGAATTACAAATCGCTATAATTGTCAATCGCCAGAATTGCAAATGGCCTGATGAAGCTGGTTGTATTCACCAGAGAAACGTCGTACTCAAATTGTGAATGTGGTAGGTTTACTCTCCAACACACCGGTTTTCTGAAGTAGTAACTAATTGTTACGGTTTTTTTACGTGGCATACCTTAAAATTTCCCTGTGTAGGGTGGTGTTGGTAGGTTAACGACATTTGTATTTACGCGATCTAACCCAAAAAAAGCCTTCATTGTGAATAATATTGGTCGCAAAAGCGTGTTAAACTGGTAGAGACAAAACAAGTCGACTGTTAGAATTTAAGATCACCTCATTGCAAAATCAGGAAAATATGAAAGTTTCAAAAGAGACGATGGAAGACTGAGAGAAAAGGGAGCGTTGAGCTTACCTTTTGGCTTAAAGCGGAGCATGAAACAATGTGGCTTGCAACGCACGCATTGCGTGAAGCTGCTACCAAACTACACGAGAGGTGAACTCTGAATCAGACTTCTGCATCTCTTCCTACAGGTGCGGGATTGTTGATCTTTGATAAATTAAAGCGAACGGCACTGCTGCCAGAGATTATCATCTTTCTTTTTTAGAGCCAGTTACTGGAAATATTGGTCACGTCTGGAGGTTTTTCCATTGCTCTCTGGTGGAAAGTTTAAAATGTTCCATTTCTGGCTTGAATGGAAAAAAACTGCTTACACGTGCTTAATAACACTTTTTTGGCATTTTATTTTAGAAATAACACTTTTTGATAAATAAATTACAGAAATTACATTAAAGTAACTATTGTTTGTTTTGTATGCAGTCATAATGGGGGAGGGGGGTAGAAAGAACTTGGCCAAATACACAAATCCAGCAAGAGCCACAAAGAGACCCCCAACATTCACGTGGACATCGAGAGAGACATGAAAACGACATAAAAATCCAACACAGTGTCAATAACAATATGACCTTGAACTGGCAACATACATGAAAGCACATTGAGCGGCTAAAGTCGGAGACTGCCCTTGTTTACAATATGGGGGTCTGATGAAAATTTTATTTAAACAATGCTCTCTAATGAACTATTTTGAAATAGGCATATGAATATTGACCTAATAATTGCTATTGAGTAACAGATACACTATTAAATTATCAAAAAGTATTCTAAATAAGCTCATATATGCTCAAAATAGCATGTTGTTGTCCTATTGCATTGTGGGAAGAAGTGTTCTTGTGAGCAGAAGGCACGATCTATTCAGCGATGCAATTAAATTTACATTGTATTTTTTTCGGAGGTATGTCCCAATCCACGGTGTAATGAATGAGTGGTGTTATTGTGACGGGTGTGGTTATGTTATCGGTCGGGCGTATATTAGCGCCACCTCGTGGCAATTGTGCGGGAATTGCGTAATAACAGCATGAGTAACACTGGCTCATGATTGGCCAAGGGTAGATGGGCAATAATTTAGGCTGCGGTCCCTTCTCCCAGATACACGTGGGTAGTCACGTGACCCCGCGTCAGAGCACGTGAGAGACGCATGGGGGATGTGGTGTGTGGCCGAGCCAAGTCATGACCTGGGATAATGACATTGCCGGCACGACTGGTGTACCGGCGTGTTAGTTTGCTGGCGTATTGGTGAGTCAGTGCAAATAAAAGGGCACCATTGTAGTTATTTAACATCTTCTGGGGCGCCGTGATGGCGAGATCTTAACTACCTCGCCTTGTATGCAGGAGGTTGTAATTTCAATCCCGACCCTGGTGCCTGTATATTTGGAGTTTGCGTGTTCTCTCCATGGTTGCATGGATTTTTATCTGGGTCCTCTGGGGTTTCCCTACAAATTTAGAAACATACATGTAGTTCAGTGGGCCTTACCTGGTAAATTAAAAAAAGTTTTGTTTCGTTAGTTTACTGGAGGCTCCCGGTGTGTGTGGTGGCTGAAGAGTGAGAGAGTGGCGCGCCGCTATCCTCGAGTGCGAGTGAGGAGCGCTGATGCCCTTGGGTGACAGAGATATGCGAAGCATGAGCGCTACTCATCTCTGACAATTAGATTTAACGATAATTGCGGACATAAGAACAAGACACAGTGGGCACGGGTTACATTATATCGGGCTTTTACTGCATCACTAAATGTCAATGTTCTCAATCACACAAATAAGAGACAGAAAACTCTGACATAATTCTAGATTTGAAGCTTTCAATTCTAGATTTTAAGCTTTCGTGAGCTCATGCAGTGAGCCTCCAGGAGACCCACCTTTTCCACCAACGGTCGGAGAAGCTCAAATGTAGTTCAGTTAGCCAGGTATTTCACTCCATGCATGCTTCCAGTAGTAGAGGAGGAGTATACTACTGAGGATTAAATTCCCACATCTCTGAACATGAATGCCCCCTGGGTCGGTTTGTTCTCATCAAAGGTACAATAGCGGAAAAAAATCACACTATGGAACGCATATACACCCCCCCCTCCTCAGCCAATTAACTCTCATCTACTAAAAATAATCAGCAAACTCCTACACCAGTGTTCCTCATTGTCCTGCAGGCCAAAAGTGTCTTTCGAAAACCCAAAGAGTGGCCCGTAAGCTGCCTCGCCCGTACACTATGCGTTTCGTATGTATTTATAATTTATAAAGTATTACTTATTTAATTCCCCTTTTCACGAGCTCAACTGTCACTTTAAGTGGTTCTTTCACCCATTTTTTTATTTAGCCAATCAAAAGAATGTAACCATATCTCTACTTTTCTTATTGGTTGTTGCTTTATAGAAGTGCATCAATACCTGGATTGCCCGATAATGCTGGATGCAATTACCAGCAAAACGTCGTACTCAAATTGTAAATGTTGTGGTTTCACGCTTCAACACACCGGTGGGCTAAAGCAGTGAACTATTTGTCTTTTGTCAACGTGACACTTTTTTACTGATTGGCCGTGTCGGGTGGTGGAGGGTTACGACACATTTATAAATAACGCGATCTAAACCCAAAAACGTTGATTATGAATAATACCTGGATTACACTGTTGAGCGCAATTATCCAGTAATTAGTTGGAGCGATAGAGTAGAAATTGGCAGCCTTCACGTGGCCTACTATGTTAAGTGAGAAATCATGAGTAATGCCATCAACGAGTTGACCGAAAATCGATCATCGATCTCCCGATCTCCAGAGCAACAACACAATCCACTACAATGGTCCTTTTCAGGGACAATCGACACGCCAGATAGGCCCTGGGACAAGGATCCTCCAATTGAACATTGAGGGACTCTCCTGGGCAAAGAACGAGTATCTCGCAAACATAATGAGACCCCTAAACATTGATGTCCTGTCGCTCAAATAAACCCATATATTGGATGCCCTATATGCCAGTCGTTACCACATCGATGTATACAACCTCACAACACAAGCACTGTGGTTAATGCAGACATGATTCCTTGTAAAAGGTTTTAGTTTGGTGTTTAAAAATCATAACACTTATTTTGTTGCCAGAAGAAAGGGGAAAACTCTATTGTCATATGTTGGTACTGGCAAAGGAGGTCTCATGATGTAGATGCTCACCCGAGCTCTCATTACTCTGATAATGCATTATCTTGGGGCTGTACACCTTTTGGCATCCTCTGGTCTAGCACCGTTTGAGACGAGGCTGAAAAGAAATCTGTCTCTGGTGTGGACCAATCAGTTTCAAGGACAATATTATCAGAGTATGTTTTTTGTTTGCATTCTGACCACAAGCATTGCGGTTAATGCAGACATGATTCCTTGTAAAAGGTTTCAGTTTGGTGTTTTAACATCTTAACACCTGTTCTGTTGCCAGAAAAAAGTGGAAACCCTATTATCACATGTTGTATTACGTTTCAAAGCTGCAATAGCTACGGGTAGCCAGGTGCATTTTTCTTATTTCAAGTAACTGCAAATGGTGATCAAGGACAGGACCCAGAGGCCCACGTGCACAGCAGAGAATGGGGCACGTCCCCAATTTAGATTTGGACGGACTCCGTGCTGAGGGACTGATCTGTGGTGTTGTGATGGGGAGGATGTGTCTGTTCATTAATGCAGAAACGCAATTTTTTTTCGGAATAAAGCTTTTCCGTTTCACAAACCTCTGGTGCTCTGGTGTTGTGGAGTCGCCCACTGTTCCAGAGGACAGAACACATCGCGAAGTATCCACTCATCGTCTCCGAACGTTATTACTTTTCTTGTCTATTTAGCTGACCTATCCCCCTCATTACGATTTGCGAGAGGAGAAAGATAGGGCGGACCGGCAACATGAGCAATATCTGAAACCGAGGAGGATGCACACCCTTCAATGAACTTATCGAGACTGCTTCCTGCCAAATTACAACAAGTGAGTCTCCAGAACTTTCTGAAGGCAATTTGAGCCAGGCCGTAGGCCCTCAACCTACACAAGTAAGGCCAAGCAAAAATGTGTGATGACAAAAAAATAGATGCTCTTAAGAACAACAGTGCACAGAACTTATCCAGTACGCTTTCCAGAGGGATCTACAATGAGCTAATGACGCGTGAAAGAAACTAAAAGCGTCCCCGAATTACCAGGAGTGTGTAGTTAATCATATTTTCAAATTGTATGGATTTTGGTGAAACATGAGAAGTCGTTAAGTCATGTAAAAATGTAAAGGAGTGCTTCATTGAATCTGTTGAAATTCTGTACGCTACATTTCCAAAGACAAAATACTGAAAGAGATCAGTCTCTTGTAACTATCAGACAACAGTTACAAGGTGATGCGAGGTTCTTGGCGCGGATGTATATGAAGCTCCAATGCATAATGGTAAGTTACATGTGAAATCTTGAATTCAAGCTTTCGTGACTGCAGGTCTTTCGGTAAAGTAATCTACGTGACTTTACCGAAAGACCCAAAGAATATAAGTTATATGTGGCCTAGTAAAATCACAACTTTCTGATGTGGTGGCCCTCCACAGTATATTAGTGGGGAGTACTGTCCTACACCAATGTGACCAAACACTCATTGCCGGAGTGGACTGGAACATAGCACAAGACCTATGGCTGGACAAAGCTCACCCCACCAAAACAATGTAATTATATTAGAGATCTCATTGCCCATACGATTGACCGATGGCAAATAACACATTCACAGTAAAAAGACGACACACATCTCAAGCCCTCAGTAAATCATCCTCCCACAGACAATTCCCAGCTCTATGACCATGCCCCTATTGTGTTCCGGTTCATATTTTATTCCCAAAATGCATGTCATAGGATCTGATCAATGGATCGCAACATGGAGGATATCAAGACCTTCTTGCCAATAGATTCAGCTCATCCCCTCCCCCACCTGCCACCTCCCCACTAATGGTATGGGGAGCCCCTCGAGGGAGCCGACTGGCACTCGGGGCTCACATGAGGAATGAGAGATGCAGGCAGATTCTTGAATTGGAAGTCCGCCTTTAGGTCCTCTACACACAGCCTCTACGTGCTCCGAAACACCAAAATTACAGCAAGAAGCCAACCAGCGCAAACTAAGGTTAAACCAGTGATTGAATGAGAACAATTCCAACATCTTCCTTAAATCCTAACTCATATTCAACAATCCAACAGTCTCC